TAAATGACAGCGTAAACTTCAAAGATCTTTCTACAACTAAATCTGAATGCTGCACCGGCCAAGCTATAGTTATTTTTAATAATTTAGCAAATCTATGCTTACCTAAAGTCCCTCCAGTTGAAGGAAATGTTAAGATTAAAAAAGCAGGACTCAAAAGGAAGCGGGGTTTGTATAATAACCCTTACCATCAATTGTGTCAGCGAATTTTGGGCAAAACTGCTCATAAGGAAAAGTTATTAAAAAAACAACTCTCTGTCATAGATCTTCAACTATTCTCGATTAAGGACTCATTCGAGATGTTATCTGATTTTCACATAAATAAAGCACAAAAGCTTTTATCCATGCGGTTTTCCAGATGTAAAAGGATTACAAGACCCTATTCTTGGATCAAAATTTCATTTTAGAGTGCAATCTGGAAAGTTTGTTCAAATTTTACATAATGGTGCAATGCATTGGCTTACCATTTCAAATTTTTTAAGTACATCTTAAATCAATTGATGTTTTTGGTTCCTTACATTATGACTTAAGTGTTAGTGGAAAGATGCAAGTAGGATCAATCATGATGGTTAAAGAACATTTTTTGAAATTACAGTTCAAAGATTTCCAAAAACAATCTGGTGGGCTTGATTGTGGTCCTTTTGCAATTGCAGCGGCAACAGATTTATGTTACAATTATGATCCAAGCATAAAATGTTATAATCAAGAACTGATGCGGGATCATTTGTTAAAATGCTTCAGTGATAGTTACTTAACGCCATTCCCTATAGAGACTAATGAACGAAAAAAGAAAAAACAACCTAAACCAATTAATTTACCACTATATTGCATATGTCGTCTTCCTGATAATAAAGAAGAAAAAATGGTTAAATGCGACAATTGTAAGGAATGGTTTCACGTTTCATGCCTTCCATTCCTGAAAATATATTTGAGAATTCTGACAACTCTTTGGCATTGTAATTCATGCAGCTAAATAAGGTATTTTATTTAAGGAGGTGGTGTTTATTAATTTTTGAAAATTTTACCACTTATCCTAAGCGTAATAAGGCCCCAACCCCATTTATTGATATACTTGTTAACACCAAAAACGTTACATCTCAAAACTTTAAAAAAAAATTTAAAAAATATATATTAATAACCGATAAAAAATAAAAACTTTTCCCATCCATCCTTTTACTACGTCTGTCCACACCCCGTTTATTAGATCTGGGATAAAATCCCCACTTCTTTTTATTTTCCTCCAAAACTCCCTGTATAAAATGAGAATAAATTATATTTTTTACTTTACTTATCGATACTTTATACATTTTACAATACCCGTCGATTATTATTCTTTTACGTTTGTTTACCCTAAGGTGCCTAGGGTTTAAGCATCTTATGGTAAATAAACGTAAAGGGACAATAATCAATAGATAGTGTAAAATATATAAGGCATCAATAGGTAAAGTAAATAACAAATTATTTTTTATTTCCTTTTCTTACATCCATTTTAAAAGAATTTAAAATAGGTGTGCAAATTAAATTTATATGTTTTAGTATGTCGAAATCTCAAAGCTAATCAGTATAAACGGTATTATGTAAATTTAACCAAGTTTCTCTTCTGTTTCGATTTGGTGAAGATAATCATATCCGAGGCGATGATGAAAATGATATTTAAAAAAAGTTTTGCTAACCGGAATATAATTATTACACATTTTTCTTGTGTTTTCTCTGCAGCTGCGCGTATTATACATTTCTTGAAATCTGAATGAGTTTATAAAGAGATATTTTATTTTAGAATTTTAAAGACTACTCTAGCCAAAAGTTGATTGCATTAGGGATGCCAAAATTGAATGGCTGAGTACCTATCAATCATTTCCAATCAAATATCTAATGCCTTAAATAATGACTGTTTTACATTAGGAGTTTTCATTGATCTGTCAAAAGCTTTTGATACCGTAAATCACTATATACTAATAAAAAAACTCGAAAACTACGGTGTAAAAAATAAAAACTTACTTTGGTTCAAAGATTATCTGACTAACAGAAAGCAATTTTTATACTATAATAAAAATAATACAATTCCACACTCCATAACTTGCGGGGTTCCTCAGGGTTCTATTTTAGGACCACTTTTATTTATATTGTACATAAACGACTTATACCTATCAACAAATCTTTTAGACCTAATTTTGTTTGCTGATGATTCAAATCTTTTTTGTTCTCACAGAGATATTAAATCACTTTTTAAAATAGTTAACGAACAGTTATGTAATGTTAGTGCATGGTTTGTAAGTAATAAACTTTCACTAAATGCGGAAAAAACAAAATATATGCTTTTCCATAAAGTAAATAAATCAGAAAATATTCCTCTTAAATTACCAGATCTTAATATTAATAAAACTTATATTAAAAGGGAATCTTACATAAACTTTTTAGGAGTAAAATTGGATGAAAATTTAAAATGGTGTTCACATATAAATAGCATTGAAAAAATAATCTCAAAAAATATTGCAATGATGTTTAGGGCTAAACCCTTTCTAAATATATCATCTCTGAAAAAATTATATTTCGCCTTTATTCACAGTTATTTGTCTTATTGTAATGTTGTGTGGGCTAGTACTAGTCATACAAAACTAAAGAAACTCTACAATAAACAAAAACATGCATGTAGAATAGTATTTGGAGCCGACAGAAATGTTCCTTGCGAACCACTTCTAAGTGTGCTCGGTGCTTTAAATGTATATAAACTTAATTTACACCAAGTTTTATTGTTTATGTTTAAAACAAAAAAGGATTTGTCTCCTAAAATATTTCAATCTTATTTTAATAAAATTAACCATAGGTACTCAACAAAGTTTTCAGAAAACAATTTTGTTGTTCCAAAACATAAATTAAAATTAACTTCCTATTCAATTAAATACCGCGGACCTTATCTGTGGAAGAAATTTCCAGATATTGTTAACAAAAAGCAGACTACATTAGAGCAATTTAAGGATGAATCAAAACGATTATTATTGTTCATGGATCTCAATAAATCCGACTTTAAATGTTTATTTTAAAGTAAACACAATAAAAAAAAAATAAAAAAAAAACAGATTCAATTATATCAATGATATATGATAATATGAATAAGAAAAGAAAGAAAAAGGAAAAAAAGAAAAAAAAAAAAAAAAAAAAAAAAAAGAATAAGAAATCCAAGTGATGATGTCACAAGTGATGATGTCATAAGTGATGATGTTACATATTCATTTAGTGTTAATTATGAGATTTAATTTTTTCAATTTCTTTTATATTCAGAAATTATTTTTTTTTTTTTTTTTTTTTTTTTTTTTTATATTAACTTATTTCTTAAACATTTTAGCAACTGTTAAGCATCTTAATGCTTCTTAATTAATTCTTATTTTTTATTTTTTTTATTATATTAGTTATTTTCTATTTCATTTCTAATTGTTTCTTTTATATATATATTTGTATGTTACGGTTATGTAGAATTTTTAATGGGGCTCGGCGATAAGGCGAAATGTGCCTTCTTCTTGCTCCAGCCATCAATTTATAAAAATGTATATGCAATGTAAAAATTTTTTAACGGCGAAATAAATTACACTAAAAAAAAAAAAAAAAAAAAAAAAAAAAAAAATTACTACTTTATTTGAATAACTCATTCTCTAAATGTTATAGGTTTATAAAATATAGAACTAGCAAGCGGTACCTATCGCCTTGACCCATGTAAAAAAAAAAAGTATTACAAACTTAGAATTAAAAATCAATGCTGTAGTAAAAAAAACTGGAATTCTCTGTTAACTGCCACATTAGTCTACCACCATCGCTAAAAAATTTTAAAGGTGGACTTGGATATTGGCTGGCGGTGCTATAACTGCAAATTTTGTAAGAAAATAGGGGTCCTTGCCTGCCTTTTTCCGTCAGAATAGTTAGGATGTGCATTTTAAACAAATTTTATTCCGTAAATTTTTGTTATTGTTCTCAATTTCAATTAATTTGTAAATGTATACATGTAATATACATATACATGCATATAATAGTCGTGCTAAAAGCCGTTTTTATTGTTTAAATGATTGTGTGAATAAGCTTATTTTCGTTATTTGCACGACGGTCGTGCAAATAAGCTTATTTTCCTTATTTGCACGACGGTCGACAGACTCGGCCGAATTAATAACAGATAAAATCCCTATCGCCAACATAAACTTTATTGAAACTTTGAAATTTTTACAAGTGAAAATTATCTTGTACAAATAGATTTTGATAAATAAAATTAATAGTACAAGACTTGTAATAATAAACTTACTTGATTACTTAAAAATTATTTGCTTGTTTTGATTTTGATTACAAAAGCGCACTTGCCTTTATTTTAAAATCAGCGAATCAGATTGCTCCTATTTTGAGCCTGTACAGGGTTTCAAAATATGCGACCCGTCACGATGTTAATTTCTATTCCTGTCTTCAGTGACGTCATTTTAAACATCAAATGACATCATCTTGGAAAATCAATAAAACTGATTACGGAGCAAATTTTTTTTTGAAATGAAATGTATAAATTTATGAGAAATTCGTGAATGCAGTTATTATTTATATGCATTTACATAGTTGCATTTAAATTACGATGCAGGTAATTAAGCTCTTGAATAATGTAATTATAACTATAATTACATAATTTGAGATTTTAATTAGCTGTGTTGTGATGAAAACGTTCAAGATATGTAGCAACATTCATCTAAAAGAATGAAATGAAGAAACTTTAAAATATAAAGAAAATTTAAAGTAAAAAGAAAAATGTTAGAAAGTTGTAAAGTAAAGGAAAAAATGATTTTAAATTTGTATTATATTTTTTTCACTAAAGTTAAATGAGTGTTGTTCTTTTTTTTTTTTTTTTTTTTTTTTTTTATGATTATTTTTACATTGAATGTTTTATTCAATAGAACATTCAATGTAAAAATAATCAAAAAAAACTATAGACTATTGCTTATTAACTCCTCCATTTTTTTTTATTTTTTTTTTATTTTTGTATATTTAGTGAAGTTTTTGTGTTCGTTTTAGATACCACTTCCTTGATTAGTTTTAACTGTTTAAAGTGTCTGACAACCTAGCACTAACATTGTGTGCTAAATTTTTAGTTCAAAAATAGACTAGATGAGGAAAAAAATTAAAAACAATCATTTTTTCCTCATAGAGTTGTAGCTGTAAATAGATTCAAAAAAAAAAAAACTAAAATGAATGATTCCGTTGTGACTTTTTGTTCTGCACTTTCTAAAAAATTTGCAGACACAACACAAGAATGTGAGGATATTAAGATTCATATGAGAGGTAAGTAAAATATATATTGACATAATATTAAATATATGCATATACATTTAATGTTATGTTAAATATATATATATATATATATATATATATATATATATATATATATATATATATATATATATATATATATATATATATATATATATATATATATATATATATATATATATTTCCCTCATATATAAGTCTCTCAAACATTGGTTAGTTTGAACTTTTATTTTCTCAAATTTTTTACTATAGTCCTTTGAAAGCAAAATAATTTTTTTTCTTCACCTAAGTTTAACAGTTGTTGAGACTATTTTCCTTGGTCTTTTGGTTAGAGGTTCAAGTTATATATATATATATATATATATATATATATATATATATATATATATATATATATATATATATATATATATATATATATGAATGTATATACTATTTAATATTTATACGCATTAAAATTATATTTTTAGCTGATATTTTCCAAGATCATATCTCACGACTTATTCTTGCATTAGATGGATGTGGCATAAACTCTCCTGGGGATGAAAATGCAATCAAAAGTGTTTGTCCACATCTTAAAGATTTGGATCTATCACATAACTTTCTGTCTGAATGGATGCATGTAAGTCAATCAATCGGTTGTTTAGATTTTCTTTTTTTAAAGCTTGCCACATAAAAGAAAATTTTCATTACCTCAGGTAAGACCAGGGCTGCAGCTCTAGATTGTTCAGACTCTAATAAGTGCCTCAAATTTCTGGTTCAATTTTATTTTTCTTCTTTCATTTTTTATATTAAATATAATAGAGTAAAAAGTTGTAAAAATTAAAACTTACAAAGTTTATTATTATTTTAAACATGATTCAACTTTTAAATCTCATTAAAGAAACAAAAAATTGTTATTTTTAAATGGAAGCACTAAGAATCTCTGAATAGTAACAGTGTGATTTTTTAGTCACTGGTTTAATGATGTGTTTTTTTAATAAAAGAATTACTTTATTAATTTTTTATAAAAGAATTTCTTTAGAAAGTTTCTAATATAAGAGTTTGTTATTAAAGTTTTTTATATAAGAATCCCTTTTGAAAGTTTTTTTATATAAGAATTTGTGAGTATTTTTCATCTTGGTGATATTTGTTCTATTTTTTTATTCTTCTATTTTTTAATTTGTTGACATTAGTTTTATTTTTTTATTTTTAATTTTAGTGACTTTTTTCAAACTTTTACTAATCAACTCTAAAACTCATTAGAAATACTAGAAAAAATTATACGATAGAATTATAAAAAAACATTAAAAAAAATTATACAACATTTAAAATATAAGCAAAGAATTATTCATTATTCTTAAGAATTCATTTAAAAAGGTTTGTACTTAGATTATCTCTTTATGTTAATTCTAATCATTCTTCTTATTTTTTTTAACTTTATATTGTTTAAATTTCCATTTACTTTAATTACAAATATAAAATAGATTAATAAAAACATTAATGGAGTTTAACTCAGTGGTGGATGCATTTTTATGGTTTTTACAAAACTTCAAGACATGGAGCAAAAATTATTGATAAAATAAATTGTAAGTTTTTGATAAAATAAATTTAGTTGAGAAAAATAAAAAATAAAAATTTCTTATAGTATAGTGAGAATTTTTTTATTCCTAGTCTACAATCGTTGCAATTTTACTTAGTATTTTTATTTGGTATAAGTATAAATAAAAAATTTAAGTTTGCTTCACATATGAAAGTTATCTCAATAACTCAAACACCAAAAATGCTGCATCTGCCACTAGTTTTACTTTAAGTTAAAATAACTTTAATTTTTTATTTTTTTAGGTCATACAAATTATCAGCCAACTTCAAAGTTTAAAATTTCTAAACCTCTCTCACAATCCTTTATACCTTTCTCAATCATTAGGCGAGGTACACAATAAGCATAACACTCTGCAAAATTTAGTGCTTAACAATACTAAAATCAACTTTGATGCATTATGTAAGGTATTGGAAATATGTCCCTGGTATGTTATCTATTTATAAAATTTATTTCCTTGATGTTAATTTCGTTTTGTTTATTTATATAGCATATGTGTTTGTGTTTTTGTTTTTATTCAAAAAACTACACAGTAAAATCTTTGTTTTACTTTTTAAACAAGACTGTTTTTAATTTCATTTAATTCTTTTTTTTTTAAATATTAGTTTGCTTCTTTATATATATATATATATATATATATATATATATATATATATATATATATATATATATATATATATATATATATATATATATATATATATATATATATATATATATATATTAAACTAATAACGTAACTAGTATATTCCTTACTATATATATTTTTAATTTTTTCAAATTTTAAATTTTTAGTCTAGAAGAACTTCATCTCAGCTTAAATGAGTATGAAACAGTCCCGATAATTGACCAGCAGTTTGAAAATATCAAATCTTTACATTTTTCAAGTAATAATATTAAGTCATGGTATCATGTACAAAATCTTGCTCGTATTTTCACATCTTTAAAAAAACTAATTTTATCAGAAAATGATATTGACTCAGTTTCTAGTGTTGGAGATGAATTTCCATATCTTGAGTATTTAAGTTTGTCAAACACTCAGATAAATGATTGGAATTCACTTGATAATCTTCGTACATTTTCAAAACTTAAAGAAATTCGACTTAATAGTATTCCACTTTTGAATGGTTTTAAAAAAGAGAAAGAACGTGTTTTTTTGCTAATGGGTTGGTTGCCTCATGTTTTCAAAATAAATGGCAGCATACTTAATGAATCAGAACGCGATGATGCAGAAAGATACTTTATTAGGTATTACAAAGATAAAGTAGAAAAACCTTCGAGATATCATGAGATAGTTAAGTTGCGAGGTGATCTCTGTGATCTTGCGGATGTCAAATTGGGAAAAAGGGACATTGTTTCTCTTTTAATTACTGGTGATGTGGAGCAAAGTTTTGAAGTGGAGTTTGACACATTAACCCTAACTAGAGATGTTTACAAAACTGTTTCTCAAATGTGTAATTTAAACCTAAAACAATTTCGTTTATTGCTAAAAGAAAAAGAAAATATTGCAATTGATAATTCTGACAACAAATATGAGTATATGTTTATTCCAAAAGTAACTGTTATGTTTCCAAGAGAAGGAAGATATTTATACATGTATCATCCAAAAAATGGTGATGAAATTGAACTGCAACGGTTAGACTTTGAAAATTGAAAAGTTCAAAAATATTGTGTTTTCTTTTATAATCTTTCTAAACTTTATATTAATATATAAATTTATTTACTTTGATGTAAATGTTTTTGCAGATGTTCTTTAATATCATCGTATTTTTTAGTATTAGTGGTTGAAGATGGTAGGGTACCATCTTCACCTGACCTATTTTTGGCCACTTTAGTTTTAAATAAATTACTTAACGATGAATATTATTATATTAAATTTTTAACAAAATTAAGGTTAACGCGTGTTTAGGTGTCAATTTTTTAGATGCTAGCTAAAAGACCTATTTCTGGTCATTTGAACTTAATTCTTATTGTATAAAGAAATTCACAATTTTAAACTTTAACAATATTATTTTCTAATATTACTTGCAATTCGAGCGATTTACAATCATTTTAGAATTTGAATGTAATCATAAAAACTTTGAAAATAACAAACTTTGAGTTTGTTAAAATTTATTAAATATTTCAAGTATGTTTTCGAAGCATCGGGAAGTCTTTTCGAAGCATCGGGAAGTCTTCGCATATTTTAAGCTGAATATTTAAAAAATAGCTGAAATATTATTTTTTATTTTATAACAGAGCAATCCCACTCTTCATTAAAAATTTTAACGCTTTTTAAAATCGGTTAGAATTAGGACATGGCCATAAATAGGTCAGTTTACCCTATAATTGATCTCTCTCAGTGTATTCTAGATAGTCTCTCGCGGTAGTCTAGGTACTCTCAGTAGTCTAGGTAGTCTCTAGACCTAGCTTATTTGTAGTCTAGTTTCCTCTTGTCCATATAAAGGTGTTAACTTTAAATCAGGCTGGGGCTAAATTTACTAGATAATTTATTAGCAAATTTAGTAAATAAATAAGAGAAATAAATTAGATAAGTAAATTTACATAAATAAATTTACGAGATAAATAATATTAATTTACAAAAATCTCTCAAAGATTTTAAATTGATTTTAAAATTAATATAACCGCTGCTATTTTTAATGCATTCTATTCTTGAATGTATTAAGTTTTCGGGTGATGCGGGCAACTTTGTTTTAGCAAGCAAAGAGTTACAAAGTTTTACAAATTGCAATAGGGAAAAAATAAACGAGGCAGCGAGCCATGATGGTATTAAACAGCATTTTAATTCACCAGCAGCCCCTCATTTTGGAGAAGTTCACGAAATCATGATAAAAGCCGCAAAATGAGCAATTTATTCCCAACTAGGAAACGTGGATATTACTGACGAGGAACTTATCACAGCGTTTGGTGGAGCAGAAGGACTTATAAATTCAAGAACACTGACTTACCAATTGAGTGATCCCAAAAACTGCACACCTCTTAGACCCAATCATTTTTTGACTTTAGAAGAAGGTGAAGTCGACTTCAAGAATTAATAAAGCATTTTTAGCATCATTGGATGAAAGAATGATTACCCATGCTTGGACCACGAAAAAAATAGCATATCGTAATTAGTACCATGTCAATAGGCATCTAATATTAGTTATATCCGGCCACTTGATTGAGTAACGGAGGTTTTTCCTGGAAACAATGGGTTAGTACGTGTGGCTAATGTTTGACTTGGTAGGTTATTTTGATACGTTTGATAACTAAATTATGTACTCTCGAGCCGAATAAACCAAATATACTTACATTTTGTCAAAAGGGGCAGTATGTTCACTAGACTATTAGTGTAAATAATACTTAAATGTAAATAATAATATTGTAATATAAACGTCTCTAAGCGTCATATATTGACCTCAGAGATTACTAAAGCTAATGAGGTAATTAGCCAGTTTTGGCTCTATTTTATTTAATTTCAAAACTAAATTTTTAGCAGTATTACATAAACAACGATATGTGTTATCAAATTTCTAAAATTTTCTCAAACTATAAAATTTTAATTGCTTTACAGCTGTTATATATAGGCTTATAGGTGAATCTATTTTCTTTTTATGTTTTTGGAAATTCGTTCATAAATGAATGAGCAGAAAAGCAAGTAAACAATTTGTAAACCATAAGTTTTAAAAAAAAAGAAACTGAAAAGAAAGAACAGATAACAAATTTTGAAAAGTAAAATCCAATAAAATTGTTGTATGCATTTTTAATTGTATTTCTAGGGTCAACAGCTAAGACTGTTGAGGCACCCGGGTACCCTTGTTTTTACCCGTTGCTTACTGGCCGGATAGAATTGTTAATTGAAAAGTAACCATCATTTGATTAGTTTAAATTCCATTGCATTCAAAGTTTAAAATCTCTTAATAGTGTCTCTAATCTTAAAGTGTGTGTGAGTGTATGTATGTATCATGGGCGCCCGCAGAAAATTCTAACGAGGCAAGGGGGCTAAATTTTATCAGTACTTTTTTTTTTCTTCGTTTTTTAATACATTAGAATCAAGAAATAGATGCAATAAAGAAAAAAAATATATTCTTGTATAACAAAGAAGGGAGTATAAATTTGTCACGAACGGGCAGGACGCTGTAATAATCAATGGCGTATTATAGCAGCAATATTTTACAATGAATGTATATACGTAGTTCACACAAAAAACTTATAACATTTATTAAAAATCAAATCTATTTTTTAAAAAAAGATTGAAGTCGTCTAATATTTTTTATACTTGTTTGTCCTTCTTGTTTCATATAGAAGTAAAATACTTGTGACGGAAGATCTCCGTTTTAGACTTTCAAAAAAAATGCAATAATTCCTTTAATAGTTCCAATACTATTTTGTACCCCTGCAATATCATTTCCTACGATATTGAGTCTATGAAAGAACAAAAACAACTTTGGGGTTAATCTCTCAAATTTTTATTGCAATACCCAGCCATTGGAGCACCCATCATAACCCTGACCAAGCAAATTATTAAGTAGAAGGCAAAATATTTTGCAACTTTCAATGGTACAATCGGATATCTTTTTATTTTATTTTACTATTATTATTTTTTTGTTCTTTTCCAAAACGTTTTAGTACATTTTTTTAAGATAAAATTTTCAACATAAAAATAATAAAAGACGAAAAATAAAACAGCATTGTTGGCAACTTTTACAATATCTTCTCGCAAAGTATGTTTTAACAAATTGAATAAACTATTCTACTTTCGATGTATAACGGGTATTTTTAAAACCTTTATCAAAACTTTTTCTTTTAAACACTGTCTCCTCTCTAAATTTTATACTCATAAAGTTGTTAGACATTTTTTTTGTTAGTGTATTTCTCACGTAATATAAATAATTTGTTCCGCAAAATAATTTGTTCCGCAAAATTGTAAAAATAATAGGATACAGCTTCTTTCTATTTTTTTCAATAATTTGTTTTACTGGTTTATCTAGCTACAAAAAAGTAGGTTAGATCACTTATTATTTTTTTTTTTTTAATTGACTATTTTAGGTATAAGAACCAAGAAGTTCTTACTATCTTATTACGGAGCATCGCAGAAGAGCACTTGAAAAGAAGTTCACGTCTTCTTCCTTAACAATGTTATAAAACTTCCCCATAGGTTGCGTTGAAACACGAGTCTCTAGTTGCAAAGACAAGCACGCTAATCACTGAGCTACGGCTGGATTGTTAATACCAATTGTTCAGCATCTCGCAGAGCCCCACAATGCTCTACTGAGCTGGTATGGTTTTTGGTGGATCATGATTTGAATGCAGTTTAATTTGAATATTAGTCATTGCCTCTTTTCGATATACTTTGTACTCATATTTTCATAGTGAGTTATTTGTATTGGTTATATGAAGAAAGTTAAGCGTTTTTGTTTCGTTTTCAACTTCAATTGTGTATTGTATTGCAGGATGTTGTTGATTTAAAATATCTTTCAACTGGCATGGCTATCGTCAACGTATCTTAATAATTTTTGCCAAGTGACTAAAGATGTGTGCGGTCTTGCATTGTCATGATGAAATACAACACCTTTTTGATTTGTCAATTCGAGCCGCTTTTCTTCAACTTCAATTTCAATTTTGTTTGTTGTTCAATGTAGACATTTGAATTGATTGTTCGGTTGGGTAGTAAAAGTTCTAAATAGACAATTCCTTTGTAATCCCACCAAACTGATATAAATTCTCTTTTGATGAATATCAGCTTTTGATGTTGTTTGAGCTAGTTCACCTAGCTTGCTCCACAATCTTTTCCGTTTGACATTGTTGTAAACAACCCATTTTTTATCATCAGTTATCAATCGTTTTAAAAATGGATCATTTTTATTATGTTTCTTTAACAAATCGCATATGCTAATGCGTTGTGTTAAATAATTTTTCTTTCAGTTTATGAAGAACACATATATCGAGTTTTTGTACATAGTAAAGTTGTTTTAAGCGATTTTCAATGCATTTATGTGATACATGAAGCTTCTGTGCAATCTCACGTGTTGTACTGTGACGATCCGAATTGATTATTGATTATTTGATTTGGTCATCATCAACTTCAACTGGACAACCAGAGCGTTTTTTATTTTTGAATGAAAAATCATCAGAACGAAATTAGGCAAACCAATTTTGACACTGCCGTTCTTTTAAAGCTTCATCGCCATAAACAGCACACAGCATTTTGTTTCCTTTCCTTTCCTGAAATAAAATAGATTAGACATACACAGTAAATAAAATACCCGTTATATTTTTAAAAAACATAACGGGAGTTTTCCTCGCACATAACGGGTAATTGCCGTTATGTTTAATACTTAACATGTATGAAAATAACATAACGGTTTTAGCGTTATGTTTAGTCATAGCAAAATTGCCTTAAACATAACGGTTACATAACGCTAATTTACCGTTATGTGCGAGGAAAACTCCTGTTATATAACGGGTAATTACCCGTTATGTTACCGTTATGTTGAAAACCTAACATAACGGGTAATTACCCGTTATGTTACCGTTATGTAAAATGAAAATTATCTTTTTAAAGAAACGCATAATTCTGCATAACTATTCGCACAAAGTACTTAACAAAAAAACATTTTTTTGTCAATAAAAGTTGTAATAAGAAAATAAAAATTATACATAAAATATATTTCATATCATAGTATATTTATATTATACTATTTATAATAATCATGAAAATTATTTACAAAATAATTGAATAAATTATTTAAAAAATAATTGAATAAATTATTTACAAAATAATTGAATAAAATAACTTATTAAAATTTATAAATTCAAAAGTAATTTGCTTTGCAGAAGAAAAATGCATTTTTTAGATAATAAAGCCAATTGCAAAAAGTC